CCCCCCCCCTTCTCTCAATCAGCTGGATTATAAAGTTGGCTGGAAGAAACTGAAGGAAGTATTTAGTATGGCTGGTGTGGTGGTCCGAGCAGACATTCTGGAGGATAAAGATGGGAAAAGTCGTGGAATAGGCACTGTGACTTTTGAACAGTCCATTGAAGCTGTGCAAGCTATATGTATCCTTTGGCAGAGACTGAAGTCGAAGTGAGCAGACTGACCTCACTACTGTTTTAGGTAGTAACGTAGGTTTGTGTAAGGCAGAGGTGACTAGTATGTTTTTGTTTTTGGTAGTGGGGATTGAACTGAGGGCCTCCTTGCACCTGCACCTTGTACACACTGGGTAAGTGCTCTAGCATTAAGATACACCCCAGCCCTGAATTCCTGTTTCCTGTGTGCCTAGAAGGAATGCATTGGTGTGAAAATCGAGAGTTCTCTAGGCTGGAATAGATTCAAGATGGTGTGGCTGGAAAGGGTAGTTAGACTGGAGAATCTGATACGGGCACATGTCCATGAGTGGTCTTTTCCAGCCTTTTTTTTTTTTAAAGGGATCAAACTCAGGACCTTGTGCTTGTGAGGCAGGCGGGGTGCCACTGAGTTAAGTCCCCGGCCCCTAGCATTTTCTTTTTAGAGGAGTCTGGGTTTGAAAGAAGTGCAGAAACTGAATCACTAGAGAGAAACAGGGCTGTCACTCACGTCTTCACAGGATCCTGTCCAGTGGGCACAGATCATTTTGCAAGCAGCAAGACTTCTCCCTTCCTAGGCTTAAAGCATTTTCTTTTCCTTTGTTTTTTTGTTGGTGATACTGGATACAGGGCCTTGCTTCTCCTGGGCGAGTGAACTACCACTGAGCTACATCCCAACACCCCCCCCCCCCCGCTTTTTTTTGGTACTGGGGATCGAACTCGGGTCCTTGTGCTTGCGAGGCAGGCAGCGGAACCACTGAGCTAAATCCCCGGCCCTCCAACCCCTTTTTTAGAATTTCATTTTGCGACATTGTCTTGCTCAGTTGTCCATGCTGTCTTCAAACTTGAGATCCTTATGGCTAGCCTTTCTACCAGCTGGGATTGCAGGTGTTCCCCACTGCTCCTGGCTAAGCGTTACATCTTTTTAAATGACAGTGGAGGTTGCCTCATGTGATCAGAGTCATTAAACTCTGACAAGACTTGTCACTGAGTATTTTACCCAGAAAATGATAGGATACCTGGCCTGAAGGACACATACAGAAAACTGTGATGCAGCTGCTCAGGAGGAACACTGGCTGAGAAGTAGAAGGTTAGGAAGCGTCACACCTAAAGAACAAGCTAGAGTTTACTTTTTTTTTCCTTCAAACATTCTTTACTCTGATGCTTACTGTGGAAACAAATACATGAAAGTATAATAAAGAATTGAAGTGGCTCATAAATTCACCTTTTAAACTGATAGCTGTGGAGTATTTTTTTAAATTTGTTTTGCAATTGTAAGAAACAGCCTTAATTGTAATACCAGCTATGTTTAATGGCCAGCTGCTGTTTGATAGACCAATGCACGTCAAAATGGTAAGTTGGTAGCATTACTTTCTCCTCTAGTCTATCCAGAAAAGTGCATGTGGCCACTATACTAAACTTAGGGATCAGTCTGTGTTTAATGGGGTACAGTATGTTGAGCACATGTTTGACAGCCTTTTGCTCATGCAGCTCATATAGCTCATGTAGACTTCTTCATAGTTGCCTATGATTGGCATGTTCAAGAAGTCACCTGAGTATCCTGCTTAAGCAAGTGATCACTTTCAAAAATACCTTTAGGTAGGTTTTTCATTTTCAAAGTACGGCAATAGAATGGTTATCATTCAATCTGTGTTGAACATAATGAAGTCTTTGAGTCAGACAGCTTTTAAAGTAAAGTCTGTTGGAACACATTAGCCTGATTAAATATTAGCCATGCTATGGTGATGCCAAAGGTAATAGTTGATACAAACATGGGTGGAATGTGTTCAGGGCAGTCTAGTTAGGCCTCAAATTCAGGAAGAAGATAAAAGGAACTGTAAAGAAATTTTTCAGTTATTTTAACATTCAGTTTTTTGTTTGTTTGTTTTGAGACAGGGTCTCGCTGTGTAGTTCAGACTGGCCTTGAACTTGCTGTGTAGCCCAGGCTGGCCTCGAACTTTGCAGCGATATTCCTGCCTCAGCCTCCCGAGTGCTGGGATTATAGGTGTGAGTCACCACGCCTGCCTTAACATTCAGTTTAGTTTTTTAAAAATATGTATTTGAGGGGCCGGGGATTTAGCTCAGTGGTTTTACTGCCTGCTGCGCAAGCCCAAGAACCTGAGTTGCATCACCGGTACCAAAAAAAAAGAAAATATGTATTTGAGGGCCAGGGATTTAGCTCAGTGGTTTTGCTGCCTGCTGCGCAAGCGCAAGGACCCGAGTTCGATCCCCAGTACCAAAAAAAAAAAAACCGAAAACACCAGTATATAGTGAATTAAAATTTGGGCTGGGGATTTAGCTGAATGGTTCCAGTGCCTGCCCCGGTACCAAAAAAAAACCCCAAAACAAAAAAATACGTATTTGATTCATGTGACTCAAAAGTTAAGCATGAAAATAAGAGTACTCACTTGCACTTCTTGCCTGGTCCCTAGCTATCCCCTTATCCCCCACAGTAATACGCCTGTGTGTTTTTCTCCTGCCCCTTGACAAAGGTAACAAGTATGCTTGTATGTGCCTTTTTACCCTTGCGTAGTATTCCATGGCACGCTATACCACAATTTAACTAGTTGTGCAAACAGTGCTGCAGTGGATAATTATATAACTTTGTTTGCTTTTTCTTTCAGGATGAGAGGGCCTTACCAAAGGGAGATTTTTTCCCTCCTGAACGTCCACAGCAACTTCCCCGTAAGTATTTGAGTTATACTAAACAGAGAGGTATGGTTACAAGGAACCAAGGGAAATTATGGTTACAGTGGAACTTGTGCCTAGTTAACCTGGAGTTCTCAACCATTTTCCTTCTATAGATTTTTCAGGGTGACAAGCAGAGAGAACATTTACAGTCTAACAAGGGTTGTTAGGGTTACTGGGTCGTAGGCAGGCAGCCTGAGACATAAAGGCTGTAGTTAGGTATGTGAAAGCGCCGAAGGAAAGAACCAAAAACTGCTAAGGGAATTAAACCAGACTGCACTGAGAGTCAAAAGACACGGGTTATTACCGTATGGCCCAGCAGTTCTGTTCCAGCTCTGTTCCAAGAGAATTAAAACCATATGTCCACACTGAAACCTAACAGATGTTCATAGGAGAATGGTTTATAAATAGCCAAGAAGTCATGATGGCCCCTTAGCTCTAGAGTGGGTGAATGTAAACTCAAGTGATGGAATGTTATTTCACCATTAAAAGGAAGGAAATACTGATACATGTTATGAACCTTGAGTCCATCTCCAGAAAGTGACTGGAATAAGGAAATCCCATAAAGACAGAAAGGAGATCACTGGTTACTGGGAGCTGGTGGGAGGGATGAGGAGTCACTACTAGTACGGGTGCCTTTTCCATTTGGGGAGATGAAAATGTTCCCATAATTAAGTGCCAGTGATGGTGCTATGACACTGAATATACTCAGAACCAGAACCACTGAATTCTGTACTCAATGGACTTTGTGGCATATGAGGGTTAACCACATTTTGTGAAGAGAGAAAAGAATTGGCTGTTTACAGTGTTAGGTGAAAATCTGCCTTGTGACGGAAAGGCTAGTTGATTGGTCACTTCGGTTGTGAGTGATGCATGTTAGCACCATGTCTTATTGATACCAATGTAGAGCCTGGAGGCTTGGGGAATTGGTGTCCTAGGGCTTACCTGTGGCAGGGAGAACCACCCTGGGGTGGGGACTGTCTGGAGAACCAGGGGATGCCCTGAGGGAGCAAGGTTCCAGCTGCCAGCCCCAGTGGGGGAGATTGGAGTTGAATGGAGCCTAAGTGCCAAGTTGTAGCAGTGCGATTGAGGGAGATCTTGAGGGAAATGAGTGGCTTCAGGAGTAGGAGGTGGGGTGGGCTCAAGGGCAGAGCATACAACTAATATACCTGAGGCCCTGGGGCTGATCCACAGCACCTCATAAAACAACAACAAAAAACCCCAAAAGAATAGGAGAGGGTTCATCTGTTGAAAGGCGTTAAAATATCTAGGGAAGGACCGTATTTCCATGTCTTAGCGCATTTGTTTTTCAAATAAGTGGACACTGGTCACTTGCCATAGCTCTTGTTGGCTCTTGTGCCTGCAGGAGGGGAGGAGCACCGGTCCCCAAGGAGCCCATTATCCCTGGTTCATGGTTTCCCAGACAATTCCAAGGTTTAACTTGAGAGCCTTGAGTGCTTTGGGAATAAGTAGCCGTGGTGATCCCTTGCTGCTGTTGCCATGCAGTTAAAACAGGGAGATTAACAGATTAAATACCTGGTAACTTGTCAAGCAGGTTTTTAATTGTTGTTTTAACCTTGGTACATCTTGGCTTAAGCCCTAGACCAGTGTCAGGCCTTCTTGGCTATTTCCAGACCGTATTCTTGGGTCCCTGTTTGTGCTTGTGGGTGTTAAGCTAAGGCTGAGGGTAGGCTGGGTATCAAAAGTTAGGAAGAGGGCCAGGGATTTAGCTCAGTGGTTCCAGCGCCTGCCTCACAAGCGCAAGGTCCCGAGTTCGATCCCCAGTACCAGAAAAAAAATAGAATGTCAAAAGTCAGGAAGCTTTGGTGGTAGTAGAAAAAAAGGTTCCTTGAATATACTATCTTCATTTTTAGAAAACCATCCACATCAGAGACTAGTGTATTGTGGATTCACAACACTGTTTTCACCAGGGAAGTACTTTAGGCTACAGGCTGGTCAGAAAGTGGGCATTGTGCGTGTTTGTGCTACTTGTCACCTGATATCTTGAATTAATCTTTTTTGATCAAACATTTTGAAATTCATGATTTAGGGGAAAAAAAGATACTTAGGATTCTTACTCTATGGGTTATTCTAGTTCTTGGCAACTGAGTGAGCTGATTTGATGTTGCCTTTGCTGTAGAAGCACACATTGTGTGTAAAAAGCGGTGCCTTAGTAAAGGGGAGCGCACCCAGGTGTACAATGTGGAAATCGGAGTGGAGCAGAGCAGTGGAGTGTGATAGCTCCAGCACACAGGTTCTCTTGCCTTTGATGGTCAGCATCTTCTAAGAAGGGAAATCAACACTTTTGACTTCTTTTTCTCCTTCCAGATGGACTTGGTGGTATTGGCATGGGGTTGGGACCAGGAGGGCAGCCTATTGATGCCAATCACCTGAACAAAGGCATTGGAATGGGAAACCTAGGGCCTGCAGGTGAGAATTACAGTACATCTCAACTGGTGATTTCTGGGGAAGTTAAAAGTTATTAAAGTTAATTATTTGGATAATTGGCCTTTGAGAGGTTCAAATGGAGTAAAGGTGGGATTTTTGTTTGTTTGTTTTTGTACTGGAAATTGAATCCAGAGCCTCACATGCTAGGCGAGTGCTGTGCCGTGGAGCTATATCCCCAGCCCTTGGAATAGAGATTTAATCAGGACAAAACTCCCTCCTTGTTCATCTCAGCTTCATTTTGATAAAGACAGTGTTATATTTAAACTGACTTGATTTCCCCCCCTTTAAAGCCATTATATGTTTTCATTTTATTGTGACAGTGACTTTCTGAGCCGAGACAGTTATGTCATTTGATAAAAGGAGGCAAGCCAGAGAGTTGGTCTTGCCCAGGGTCACACAGTCAGTGACATCAGGTCTTGGGATCACAGTACTGCCACTGCACCCTAATGAGCCTGTCACCTAGACTCTTGGCTCTTGCTGATGTTGGCGTGGCTTCTTTGAGGAGTAGGGCTGTTGATAGATGCTAGAAGGTGTGGAGGGGCTTCACTGAGGGAAGACACATTTGGTGGACGAGAAGACAGTAGCTAATTTACGAACGCTGGGACATGTAGAATGTATGACACTAAAACTTTGCTATTTAGCATTTTAGTTTCTGTGTAATGAGATATTTCTACATTTAGGGAATATTTCTTTTCATTTCTTTTTTTTTTGTACTGGGCATCAAACTCTGGACCTTGCGCTTGCGAGGTAGGTGGTAGAACCACTGAACTAAATCTCTGGGCCTGGAATATTTCATTTTTATGACAGCAGACTTAGGTTTTTCTTTTTACTTTCCTCTTTTTTTTTTTTTTTTGTTCTTTGTGAGACAGGGTCTCACTGTGTAGTCCAGCTGGCCTTGAACTCACGGCAGTCCTTCAGCCTCAGCCTCCTGAGTGCTGGGATGACTGGCATGTGGCATGTCCCATCCTGGCATTTCTTTCTTGGCACCATTTGCAATTGTGATGTGATGTGCTTTCCGTACCACTGTCATTTTTGCACACCCCTGGGCCACCACCTGAAATGGCTCTGCCGGCCTCTGCCACACACATGCTCTTTCTCACTCCCTTGGCTGACACCTTAGGAAAGACTGGGAGTATGGGAGGGATTCTGTGTTTTAGGAACTCCTTTTCATTTTGAGGATTTTACATTAAGCAGGGATTTTATTAAAAGTCTCCTTTTATTCCATAAAATTCTAAAAAGTGTATGTTTTGTTGATATATTTCTTGTTTAATAGTGTCTGATTTTGTCATTTAATAAAACTGTGTAGACTATAGAATACTAAGACACATAATGATTATTTGGTTAAAGGCTTGAGTTATTTGGAGTATGATTTTTGCCAGTTCACATGGAAGAACCTTCTTGTTTTAAGTTTTGTTTTTAGACAAAATACATTAGTCATTAGAGATACTTTTTATTCATGTAGTTTGGAATTTTTTGTACTTTTTAAAGTTTAAATGTTACTTCTTTGGCATAATTTTAGTTTGCATTGACTTTTTCTTTTTAAGGAATGGGAATGGAAGGCATAGGATTTGGAATAAATAAAATAGGAGGTAAGAAATTTAAAATAAAGTACAAATTTTTAGGTACGGCTTTCCTCTTTTTCATCTTTTCTTTCTTGCATCTTAAGCCCTGCACGAAACTCTCACTTTGTCTTCTGAGGTTTGAGCCTAGAAATCACTTTCCTTACCTGTCCATTGCTTCAGTGGGTTGCTGGCTTTCGGCTCTGGCTTTCTGCTAACCAGCTCTGTGACCTTGGGCAAATCACCCCATCTCTCTGGACCTCTTTTTGCTTGTGTGTTCATTGAGGGGTTGGATTAGGTCAGCTTTTTGAAGATGGTGATTTTAAAACAAAGGGCACCAGTCTTTCTTCTTTCCAAAAGCCCTTAAATTTGGTAAGTTATTGGCTAAAAATGCCCTGGGTAGAAGACGTGGAGAACATTTTGCTTTCTCTGATCAGTCTTAGTATCAGTGGTGTGGTGCTAAAATGCACACCTCTCTTGCAGGCATCGAGGGCCCCTTTGGTGGTGGCATGGAAAACATGGGGCGGTTTGGATCTGGGATGAACATGGGGCGGATAAATGGTAAGATTTGTGTTTACTTCCTGCTGATGCCTACCCATTGCTGGTGTGGGCTTCCAGGAGACCTTCAGGATGCACACCCACTTTGAATGATACCCATTTCTGCTTTTCTGGTGATCAGATGTTTATTGCAAAAGCTAGATTTTACTACACTTAATAGTACAATTAGTCACTTGAACTTGAGATATCCAGTGTTCCAAATCTCCCCAAGAATTTTCCAGTAAAATTCTAAAAGCTTTCTTACTGCCTGCCACTCAGAAGCATGTAGACATGTGTGGTTATGTTTTGTACTTAACAATGATCTTCAAGTGTAAGAGATTCAAAATTCATGTCTTCCCAAGAGTGCTGGGGGTGAGAATTGTGTGTGTGTGTGTGTGTGTGTGTGTGTGTGTGTGTGTGTGTATGTGGTGGTACTATGATTGAACCTTCACACTGAGCTCCACCCCCATCCCATTTTTTATTTTTTAATTTAATTTCTTTTTTAAAGACAAGGTTACCAGGCCCATGACTATCTTAGCAATTGTGAAGGCCGGCTGGCCTGCCTGCCTGTCTGCCTGCCTTCCTTCCTTCATTCCTTCATTCCTTTTTTTTTTTTTGAGATAGGGTCTCACTTCATATTTATAGTTTAGGCTGGCCCTGAACTCACTAGCCCAGCCCAGGCTGGCCTCAGATTCACTGAAATCCTCCTGCCTCAGCCTCCTGAGTGCTGGGATTACAGGCATGTACCACCATGCCTGGGGTTTTTTTTTGTTTTTGTTTTTAAAGTCAAGGTCTTGCTGTTTAGTTCAGGCTGACCTTGAACTCTGATAATTTCTCCTTCCTCAGGCTCCCAAGTCCTGGCATTATTGGCATGCGCTACCTGGCTGGCTATTTTTAAATTTTGAGAAAGGGTCTTGCTAATTTGCTCAGTTGCTCAGGGTGGGCTAGAACTTAAGATCCTCCTGCCTCTGTCTCCCAGAAGGCCAGGATCACAGGTGTGTACCACCACACCCAGCCATGGGTGAGACGTTCTTGATTATCTTCTTCAAGACTCAGGAGTTATGGGCAAGAGAATATTAATAAAAAACTATCCATTCCTTTAATTTAGTATTTGCATAACAAATTCTGGTGTGCTACCATTCAACTCTTAATCCTCCCAACTGCTTGACAGGAGTGCAGTGATAACAACTAACTGTAACAATAGTGTCTTACTCTGTTAGGTCCTTGCAAGAACCACAGGACATGTAGGTACTGTTCTCCCCAGTTTATGGGAAACTGAGGCACAGAGAGTGACTTGCCTAAGGTCACGTGGCTGGTAAATGGTGGTGCCTGGATGTGAACCCAGGTTGGCTCCAGAGTCTGGCTCTTCACATCATCTCTTAGAATTGCCTCCAGCACAGCATCAGCCCAGTGCTAAAAACCCAGTCGGAAGTTTGTCTTTCTGAAATCCTCCAAATTCTGGTTGACTCTTTGACCCCCACCTGCTGGGAAGTTGCTGTTTTATATATAAACTCTGAAATGGGACACTGTTGAGGATTTGTGTTTAAATGTTTCCTTCCTTTTGTGCAGTAATGTGCAAATAGTATGATGTGAGCAAGCGTCTTACCAGGATCGCTGTTAACTGTGTTGGCTTGAAAGGAGGGTGTTCTGAGGGATAGACTGCTCTGTTTCTGGAGTATAGTTAAGGGGCTGGGGCTTTTTGCCTTCTTCCTGGTGCCTCGTTCTAGAAGATGAAGGTCATCACCATTAGTTAGTGATGCAAAGGCAGAGATCAGTGCTTTCAGGTTTGCCTGCTGTTCTTGTATTTCCTGGGTGTGAGTAGAAAGTGAAAGTTTGGGAAGTCTGGCTTGGTCAGTTCAGAACTGATCAGTCAGTAGAAAGGAGTGACGGGTTGCTCTGAGCAGTGATGATGTTACAGTTTAGAAGTAGATGAAACGGGTGGGGTGGTGCTGGAAGCTGCTGAGCTTGTGACAAAGTCCTTGGTAAACTGGGTGCTGCAACCCGGTAGTTAAGGCCTGAGCCAGTGCTCTTGGAGAACCAAGGGTGGAGTTTGTTCTGCTGTTCGCAGATGTCCTCAGCTGTAGGTATTCAGTATCCTGTCTGTCATCAAGGAGGGAATTCGGACTTCCTCACACTGGATCTGGGTTCTCATTTGGGTGGAATGAGGTTAGAGCCTTGGGTACTATGTCTGAGGAAGGTTTAAACCACATACAAAACTGATATAGGGGCCGGGGATATAGTTCAGTGGTTTCGCCACCTGCTGCACAAGCGCAAGGACCTAAGTTCGATCTCCAGTACCAAAAAAAAAAAACCAACCTGATACAGATGTTTTGTACTTCAGTCATAATGCATCCATTGTGGCCCGGTGCCAACGTTAGACTGACATTTTCAGGGCCAGTGAATCAGTCTGTATAGGTCAGATCTTGACAGAGAATGGCTGCAAACATTTTAAAGTGATTATCGTGTGTCAAAGATTGATTTAATATTCGACAATGGAAAAAAATTTTTTTTTAATAGATTGGAGTTTTCATAGGATCCCCTGGACTGTGGGGCCCTGTTGACGGTTGAGAACATGCTCATGAGGGCCTGCTTATGATGTCTTATCTGAGGAGGGGGGTGTGGCCTTCACAGACTTACCATGGAATTAAAGAGAGCAGCAGCTTCGTGATGATGCCACTCATTCTAGGATGTGTTTGACCATTCCTTTCAACTGAGTGACGCTTGCCCGCCACCCACAGGCTTGCATGCGTCGGAGACTTGTCCAACAGAGAGCAAGGCCTGGAGTTCTCTTGGGTTGATTCAGACAAGAAGTCAGTGCAGTTGCTGGAGTCCTTGGCAATTCACAAAGCCGCCCTGAGTCTGTTTCCACATCTCTAATTCTTTTAACTTTGTTGAAAGCATAGGGTTGTGGGCTGCATACAATCATTTTTTTGTAGTTGTACAATAAAAAGTGGCCATTACACTGTACCTCTTTTATCTGATACAGCAGTGTCTCAGTTTATGAACATTTTGGTTTGCAAACTCTGCATCAGGTGATAAACATGACCGCAGCCATCTTTCCCACACAAACACAAATGTGTCCATCTTTCCAGAATCATAGAACAAAATAAGTTCGTGAATTGAGGTACTGCTGTATTTCTAAGGAGTGAGATTAATATTAATACATAATGCTAGATTCCTCAGAGACCTCTCAGTAGGGGCAGAGACAAGGTGTGATACACATTTGAGTCCTTCATGGGAGAGCTCCAGGAATGTGATGGAAGTCATGGAAGGCTTTTTCGAGCAGGTGGCAGTTGTGAGGGCCTTTTCTCCACAGAAACTCAGAGCTCTGTTTTTGAATGACATTGTGAAAAAATGATGAGAGAAGCTGCCAGAATCCCATGACATAGATGGTACCCATAATGCAGTTTGAGAACAAGCCTATATGTAGGCACATTTCTGTGAGTGTTGATCTATATTAGAGCAGCCTTTGCTGCATCTTCAGCAGACCGTGGTGATGGCAGCAGGTAATGCAGGTGTGGAAGTGGTTTGAGGACTCAGCATGAGTTAAGTGCTCAGTACATCAGCAGGCTCCTCTGTGGCCTGCCTTTGACCTGTTGTGCCTTGCAAGTGACCCACCAGGTACGGTGGCTGTGAGTGCGTGGTGCGCCTGCTGTATGGCTACAGTAGAAGTTGTAAGTTGATTCTTCCTAATGGACTGGAGGTGGGTTGTTGGAGGGATTTGCTTGCGGTGGCTTTCATTTTCAAGGAATAAGGGTTTCCTTTTGGAAAGTTACACTCTGACTTGGTGGTGGCTGTTGTGTATCTGTAGTTGTTTTTTTGGGTGGGGATAATAGGTGAAGCATAATGCTTATTTCTGAAAAGGCCTAGGGTAATATTTTTTTCCGCAGAAATGGAACGTGGCATGGGTGGAAGATTTGAGAGAGACATTGCCAGAAATGAGATGGGCATATCTCGAAGCTTTGGAGAGCCTCTTGGCAGAGGAATGGGTAAGATGGCCCTGTGGCCCCACCTGGGCGGGGTCTACTCCCTGAGCTTCAGGCTGCCAGGGCTCACTCAGCCTAATGTCAGGGCTTCTTTTTTCAGGCAAAATCTGTTGGTTTTCCTTAGGCTTTAAAAAATTGTGTTTTGTTCTGTGAAGTTATTGGCATGAAAAGAACTTTTTCTTCGGCATCTTTTTAAAGAACTGATGTAAAGTTTTGGCATGGTGTGGAGATTAAAACTGCTGCGTTTCTATCACCTTGTTGGCTTTCTAGCTCTGGCAGAGCTTTGCAAGGTTCTGCTGAATCGGCAGGGCTCTCACTCCTCCAGGACCTGTGATGCTGTGGTTCGCAGGATGGAGTCAGATGCTTGCTCTAGTGGCTTTGGAAGGAATCTAGGTGGACCAGGAAAGCTTTCTGACATTGGAAGGCCTTCAGGATTGGAGCCTTGTCTCAGTGCAGAGAAATTATTTATTCAATTTGAAGTAGATGGCAAAATAGTTTCTTTATCTTAGATAACTTCTTTTTCTATTTAAAGTGCAGATGATTCTGAAAATCTTGTCAGCTGAATTCTCCTTGCTCCGTGGGAGCAAGGAGATTGACCATTCTTGGTCCTTCAGAGGCATCTTAGCATGGGAACCTGTCCCACCTCCGCCTGCCTTGTTCTGTGCAGGAACACCTGCTCCCAGAGCCTAGGCCTCTTAGCTTCTGTCCCCATGGGATGCCTGTGGCTGGGGATCCGGTTCTAAGCTTTTCACATCCAGTTGATGTTAGCTGTGTTCTTAGGGTTTAGGACTCCCTGGAAAGACTGTCTTCAGATTAACCCTTCAGCTCAGCACCTTCCCTCTTCGGGCTGTCTCTAGTGTTTTTTCTGAATTCAGGATCTGTCTGTTTCCCAGAGTGACCTGTTGCTTGGTGGAGACTTACGTTTCTTTTTTTCCCCGACCATGAGCGGGGTGTGTGTGTGTGTGTGTGTGTGTGTGTGTGTGTGTGTGTGTGTGTGTGTG